ACACTGGATGCCGTCTCAAAAACATCGACTTCCTAGCTTTTCGTTACGCAACCTCGGAACAAAAAAAAATGCATTTACATTTCGTGAAGAAAGCACACTAGAAAGTGAATGTAAAAAAAGTTACTAACGGAGCCGAAACACATTTCTGGGCGATTTCAATCCCTAACTCGCGTTAGGCTATCCGATGTTTTCAGAACAGCGATAATATGCGTGGATGGCTCTAATGCGCATGCACAGTGCCTCTCTTCTTGTTTATCTCGCTCATCTCACTTCAGTTCGTCCCGCGTCACTTCAGCTTGCGCGTGTACACCCCTTTATGGATTTGGGGGGGGGAATGGGTGCGGAGTTAGGGGAAATTTACCGTGCTAGTAGGTGCGCCGGGCTTCCCAGGTGGGTAACTCGTACAGGCGCTGTTTGCCATTCTTGTCTAGGCGTTATGAAATCGTCAGCAAACTAGAGAAGGAAAGAAGAATTCTCAGTAAAATGCCATAAGAAACATTTACTCATCCCATTGTTCTAAACGCGCTACTGTGTTTTTTAACGCGAAATGACTCATCTTGTATGTAGTAAAATAATCAACAGGAATGCATACGCGTCAAAGTCGCTTCTTACTCGTCTCAGCTGTCTATAGTCCGTGTTTTTTTATTTCCTATGTGTGCATGCCTGTGCGCAATCATTATTATATTTATCGTATGGATTGTATTGCTGGGGCTCTACCATGGAAGTAGCTCACAACCCGATTATCCAACCCAGGCCGCCTTTGAATCTTATCCAACCCAGGCCGCCTTTACATCTTATCCGACTCAGGCCTCCTTTGCATCTTATTATCAGCGCGGGACTAGGGTATCTTCTGCTAAAGGCGCCCCTTGGGCGTCCCCTTAAACGCCTGGGTTTTGACTCTCATTTTCTCCGCCAGATGTCGGTCTCGGTTAAGTAAATCAGAGCTATCTGGTTGGAAGAACGTTAGATCTCGTGAGGATTGGAAGTTGTCGGAGGGATGTAATTATGTTGGGCACTTGCCAGTGTTGTTTCCTGTGCCAGAAGCAGGACATGGACACTGAGATTTTCCGACCTTCGAAAATTCAGAGGTTCAGAGGCCAGTTAGCTTGCTGCTTTCTCTTACTGAGGTGCTCCGTGATCTAAATTGCAAGGTCGCGGCTAATCCATGTAGAGCTTGTGTGAGATAAATCGCCAGGTCTCCTCGAAATTCTGCCAAATCCTTTGCATCGCATTCCACTATGTGATTCCCCACAAAACACCTGGAGTCCGGACCAGACGAAAAAGTGGATAAATCTTCCTGTATGTAGTAAATTACTTCCTCTTAACACATTGTGTTGAAAGAATGTGGGTCCGTGAGCCGAAAAATCGATTGACGGAAAATCGACTGTCTTTCTGAGGTCAATGCTAGAGCAAAAATCGTTCAGATGATAAAATTGATATTCAACAATCGATGTAAAAGAACTCGAGACCCTGCTAGTTTGAAACAGATATTTTTTTTTATTTTTGGGGTACTTTATACGATGCCTCATTTACATTGTCAAAAGTTTCTCCAAAATTGCTCCATTGTGTACCAAATTTTGTGCTCAGATAAACGGTTAAAAATAGACGTTGAAATCAGCAATTTTTCGAAAATCACATATGTTCAAAACTTTTTTCAGCACCTTCCTTCTATTGAAGATGAACCACAATATAGACGGAGATTTTTTCCCTTAAAAGACAGGTCTTGAAATAGGTCATGTACAATATTTCGAAACTATGAATGTTTTTCGCGTAATTTTGCGTGAAATTGGCAATTTTAAAACAATGTTTTTTTCAACGAACAACAAATTCATTTTTTTAACGAACCATTGGTTTTTGTTTAATTTCTGTTTTAAGTTATGGCACTTCATAAAATAAACATTTTTTTAAAACTACGCTACAACTTTTTTCTTTAATATTGTCACGAATAAGACGAGATTTAAATATTTTAAGATTAAAAGAATGGAGCCGGTCTCATTGTCGTTGAACTCTCTGAATTTTAATAATTGCTAATTGAGGAATAATGCAAGAAAGTACGTAAAATTATAGTTCTACTAGTTAATTTTTAAGTTTATTCTAACTTATTTTGGAAAAATACATAATAACAATAATAACAATAAAATTAATAATAATAATAATAATCACAATAAGAATAAGGATAATAAACGTAAATAAAAATTTCAATACATTTTGCTTTTTATAACAATAAAATACCGGCACCTAATGATGTTTGACAGAGTTACATTGCGATCGCAAGACGACGAGGCGAAAGCTCTAACAGAATTACACAATCAGAGTAGAAGCAGTACATTTTATAAGCAGGGTCAGAGTTATAAATATGTAAATGAGCGAGTAAATGACAAGTGATGTGCTGTGTTTCGTTTGTAGGACGACGTGCTGCAAGCAAAACAATTATACAATAGGAGTAGAAAAATACGTTTTATGAGTAGGGTTAGTGTTCGTACCATCGAAAAGGAAGACGATTAAATGATTGTGCTGTTGCATATGTTATATAAGATGATTAAACAATGGGAGTAGAAAAAATCACTTTATACTCGTAAGGTTAGGGTTATAAACACCAAATGCATGACGAGTATAAATGCTGTGTTTTGCTGTGTTTCATGAGCAGGTCGACGAATTGAATGCAATAAGATGATTATTCAATGCAAGTAGAAAAATCATTTTATAAGTGAGATTAGAGTTGTACCATCTACATCAGGGGTGTCCAACTTGCAAGGCCTCACGGGCTACAACTAAAACCTTCAATTTGGCTGTGGGACATTTGACTTCCTGAATCATTCATATTGGCACATTGTCATCTTGGCATATGAGGTCCTACCATGCGTAACACAGTTAAAAGCACATTGGGATGAATTTAAATTTCCGAAATTACTAGAAAAAATCCTTAAATCCAAACTTCACCTATTCGTACATTAAAGGGGGTGTTGAACTCTGAAGGGCGTGTACACTAAGCGCAATATTTCTCGCCCGCTAAGGATGCAATGGACTTTCACTATTGACTAATAACCTTTTGTGGACCACAATAAACGGCACCGAGGACAGCCAGTTGGACAACCCTGATCTAAATAATTGTTGTGATGTGTGCAGAACGGCGAGCTGAAAGGAATAAGTGAAATGTACAATTTGATTAGATAAATCATATTTTTTATAAGTGAGGTTAGAGTTGTACCATCTAAATGATTGTAGTGGTGTATGCTGGACGACGAGCTGAAAGGAATAAGAGATTCATACAATGCGATTAGATAAATCATATTTTTTGTAAATAAAGTTGTACCATCGAATTGAATGTTGTGGTGTCTGCAGAACGAACAACGGAAAGTAATGAGAGAATTGTGCAATGTGATTATTTATAAAAACAAATAATATTTATCTAGAGTTGTACCATCTAAATGAGTGTTGCGGTTTTTGCAAAGCGACGAGCTGAAAGGAAAAAGATAATTGTACAATGTGATTAGATAAACCATAAATAGTGGTACCATCTAAATAAATGATGTGGTGTTTGCAGAACGACGAACTGAAAGGAATAAGAGAATTTTGCAATGTGATTAGATAAATAGTTGAAAATAAAGAGTTGAAGATAAATAGATAAAGAGTTGTACCATCTAAATGAATGTGTGTGCAAATCGACGAACCGAATGCAATAAGAGAATTATACAATGTAGTTAGATAAACCATAAATAGTTGTACCGTCTAAAGTAATGTGTTTGCAAACGACGAGCTAAAAAGAAAAAGAGAATTGTACAATGTGATTAGATAAACCATACATAGTGTTGTACCATCTAAATGAGTGTTGGGCATGCGCAGAACAACTAGTTGAAAGGAATAAGATAATTATATAATGTGATTAGATAATATTTTTTATAAATAGACTACAATGTAGTTAGATAAACTATAAAGAGAGTTGCCATTCAGAGACCATCTGAATGAATGTTGTGTGTACAAAACGTTCAGCCGAAAGGAATAAGAGAATTATAAAAGGTGATTAGTTAGTTTGTTACGCATATAAATGAATATTGTGTGCAAATACGACGCAGATAAAGCGAAAAAAAAGTAAATTATTACAATGTAGTTAGATAAACCATATTATAGAGTTGTACCATCTGAACGAATGTGTGGTGCAAATCGACGAGCCGAAGCAATAAGAGAATAATACACTGTAGTTAGATAAACCCATAAATAGACTTGTTTACCGTGCTAAAGGAATGTGTGGTGCAAACGACGAGCTAAAAAGAATAAGAGAATTGTACAATTGTGACTTAGATAAACAATAAATAGTGTTGTACCATCTAAATCAGGTGTTGGCGTGTGCAAAACAAACTAGTTGAAAAGGAATAAGATAATGTATATAATGTGATAAGATAAGTAATATTTTTTATAATAGACTTGTACCATCTAAAATGAATGTGTGTGCAAATCGACGATACCGAAAGCAAATAAGAGAATTATAGCAATGGTAGTTCAGATCGACCAATAAACAGAGTTTGCATCATTGAATGAATGTTGTGTGTAACAAAACGTTCCGCCGAAAGGAATAAGCGAATTATACAAAGGTGAATTAGTTAGTTGTACCATATAAATGAATATTTGTGGTGCAAAACGACGAGATAAAATGGAAAAAAAGAATTTCCTACATGTAGTTAGATAAACCCATAAATAGAGTTGTACCGTCTAAAGGAATGTGGTTTGCAAACGGACGAGCTAAAAGAAAAAGAAAATTGTAGCCAATGTGATTAGATAAACCATAAAATTAGTGTTGTACATCTAAATGAGTGTTGGGGTGCGCAGAAAAAACTAGTTGAAAGGAATTAAGATACTTATATATGTGATAAGATAAGTAATATTTTTATAAATAGACTTGTACGCATCTAATGAATGTGTGGTGCAAATCGACGAACCGAAAGCAATCAGAGAAATTATACAATGTAGTTAGATGAACCATAAACAGAGTTGCACCATCTGAAATGAGTGTTGTTGGTCGTGCGCAGGACGACGAGCTGTACGAGGGCTGCGAGGACGCACCTGTCCGGACAGTCGCCGGAGGAGTGGTGCTGAGGCGCCGGCGGGGCGGCGCGCGGCGCTGCGGGCCGGACGCGTCGTGTCCGCGGGCGCCTCGTGCGCGTGCCAGCGACGACCGCCCTCGGCGCGGCCGGGGCGGCGGCGGCGGGGGCGGAGGAGGCGGAGGGGCCGGGGACGGCGGGCGCGCCGTGGGGAGGCGTGGGGTCGAGCGCTGCTACTGGCGGCGGCGCGGCAGGCAGCCTGCCACGCGCACCTTCGACGCGCGCCCCGCGCTGCCGGCTCAGCTGGCTCGCCGACGACGAGCACGCCAACGCCAACGCCAACCGCCGCCTCAGGGTTGAGCATTGCTCGCAAGCCGAGTATTGTGGCGGCGTCGGGTGCGACTGACACAGACACGGAGTTGTTT